GATCTGCTCCTGAAATGCAGCCACCTTGGAGATAAAGTTCAGAAGTCAGAGGGCATGGTAAACACTAGAAAGCAATGCAGGACAAGAAGTGAAAGAGAATCCTGTAACAATCTGAGACTGCAGATGGAATTTAGAGAAGCAGAATATAATTCCTGAAACAAGAATTAGATCAGGAAAATGGCCTCAATTTCCGGACAAATTAATCTGGACTTTTTCTGAAAAAAGGCCCCCTTTCAATAGCTTGTCCTGGTTTAACACTGATTGTAAAGAAGGAGTGTAAGCTCCTGAATGACCAACACCATCTCCTGCAGCACATAAGCTTTCCCATCCCAGACTGGCCAACCCTGACAGTGCTCATTGGTTGTATGCAGTGGTACTGTATCCACGTTGGTCTCAGGATAATAGCAAGACAAGGTGGGTGAGGTGATCTCTTATATTGGACCAATTTCTGCTGGTAAGAGACCAGATTGAGCTTACACCAGTGTTTCCCAAATGGGGTTCCACAGAAATAAGGGTTCCGCAAGAAAATTCCATTACAACAACATTTTATTATTTTTAAAAATTTATGAATTGTACTGAAAACAATTTTCATTTGTTTGCGCCACGATAAGTGTCCCTGTATAATGCCAGCTTAGCCAGAGACTGGGGACAATGACACTACTCAGCGCTGAGCGCAGTCAGTGGTGTGATCGCCTGTTCTATGCCACCATTAACTGTTTGTACACATTAAATGTGATTTTCGTTTTTTAATATGTGCAATTAAACTAAATGTTCATCTCATGATCTTGTTTAGCATTTGTTTATTATTATCCTTACTTATTTGTGGTCTATTTTTTCAGCTCCATATATTAGACTGTTATTAGGGGTTCTGCAAAATTCTTTGAGTTTAAAAGAGTTCCATGGCCAAATAAAATTGGGAAACACACTGTACAACAGGGTTCAAGAAAGAAAAAGGCAACTACCTTTCCATAACTGGCATTCTTCAAGATGTGCTGCTCATGTCCATTCCGCATTAGGTATGTGCGCTTGACACATGCACTGCTGCTGGAAGATTTTCCCTTAGCAGTACCCGCAGGGGAGCAGCCTAGAGACCCCTGGAGTAGTGCCTTCCTGGCGCAGCATAAGGGATGCCGCGTGCTCCCCCTACCCTCAGTTCCTTCTTGTCGGACATTCCCAACAGTAGGGAAGGAGGGTGGGATGTGGAATGGACATTAGCAACGCATCTCAAAGAGCACCAAGGCAGTTCTTGTCAGCTGCTACAGAAAGGCAGCTGTCTCTTCTTTTTTGAACCTTTGAGTGTTTGCTCCCATCCATTCCACATCAGGTGACTCCAAGAGGTATTTGTGGAGGTGTGGAGGAGCTGTGAAGACAGAAGCACAGCTTTGCCAAACCCAGTGTCATCTCTGGCTTGCCGAGCTATGATGTAGTGAGACATGACTGTGTGGACCAAGGACCATGTTACAAACCTACAAATATCCTGGATCGGTGCATGTGCCAGAAAAGCCATTGATAACTCTTGGTCCTTGGCTAAATGGGCTCTGATGATCGGCAGTGGGACCTTTGCCATTTAATTGCAGGAAGTGATACAGTTGGCATCTTATGAGACTTAGGACAGTAAACAGGCAGGAAAACATCCTGGTTCCATGGAAGGATGACACCACCTTGGGCAGAGAGGTCAGGTGGGGCTGTCAGTGTACCTTGTCCTCGTGAAACACCACATAGGATGGTTCTGCAGTCAGGGCTTTGCGCGCCAATACACATCTCACGGACGTCACTGTCACTACCAAATCAACCTTTCAAGATAACTAGGAGAGGGAGCAAGAGCCCAGAGGCTCAAAGGGCAGACTGATGAGCCTGGAGAGGACCAGGTCTTTAAGGTCCCACTGAGGGATGGGATCATGCACAGGCAAGTAAAACCTCTCTAGTCCCTTCAGGCACCTGACCATCTGACCTTGAATTGGCTGGTGGAGCACAGAGATGGCTGCAAGGTGCATCTTCATGGAAGTGTGTGCCAAACCCTGGATCCTAGTCCAAGACCTATTACAGAGGCGAACACAAGAGAGACATGCCACACACTGAAGCCCAGGAGGAAAACCACATAAACGTGGCCAGATGGGAGCCTGGTTGAGGGCTTCCTCTGTTTCCCAGGAGAACCTGCTGGGCCTCACCTGAGCAAGTACATTCTTCCGGGTTCAGCCATGGAGCAACCCCAGAGTGAGCTATAGACATTCCAGGTTGGACTATAAGAGCTTCCTGCAATCTTGTGACAACAGGTCCAGGCGATTGGGGAGGGGCAGGTCCACTGCCATGTTCAGAAGGTCTTAGTGTCTCCTGTAAGCTATGCACTCGCGTGGCCGCTGAGGAGAAATTCAAATGCCACCCCGCTGATCAGCAGGGCACCCACAGCTAGGCTTTTTGTTTCTATTGGTGGTGCACATTCCCATATGTATCACTGCACGTAAATTTATTCTGCATGTGGATGGAAAAGATTAGAGGAAACACTGGTCCTGAGCCATTACTGTCACAGCCATGCAGAAGTGACTAATATCACTTGAGCCTCACCCTCTCGATCTTACAAGGATCTAGTTGAGGAGCGTCAGAGAGGGAGCCCTTACTCCGCCCCCTTGGGAGCAGCAGCAGTGACACTTCTTGTCCTGCCTGGTGGCAAACAGTCCAGATTGAGAATTCTGAATTCCCACCTCTGGAAGATTGCACGGGTCACCGCTGGATGGAGAAAACTCATGGTGAGAGGAAAAACCCCGGATAAGGTGATCTGTGAGGGTGTTCTTGACACTGGGAAGATAAACAGCCAATGTCAAAAAGCCAGAGACAGAGGGCCTCCCTGCAGAGGGCTGAGGAACAAGCTCCCCCCGCCTGCTGATGTAAAACATGGAGGCAGTATTAACTGTTAGGACTCTGACCACTCTGCTTGCAGCTGAAGCATGCGAAGCAGACCATTCTTTCACATTTATGTGACGCTTCATCTCCTCTGGGGACCACATACCCTAGCTTAGAGACCTCGGAGGTGTGGCCCCCCGTGTCGAGGTCAAAGGCATCTGCCACCATCTCAACAGGGTGCAGGGCTATTGAATGTGACTCCATCTAGGCCATTACTGCTATGGTGACTCTTTTTTCCAGGTGGTCCCTGGAGTGGAAGTAGATCAAGGCAAGCCACTGCCATAGAGGTTCTAAGCAGACACTGGTATGTCACACTACGTATGTGGATGCAGCCACATGACCCAGCAATTGCAGCCACATCCTGGTCTCCGCAAAGGGGAACTTGGACACCTCCTCAATGAGGGCAAACAAGGCTTGGAATCTGTCCTGGGGCAGAAAGGCTCATGCATGAACTGAATCCAGTGCTGTCCCCATGAACTGTATCCTTTGCACAGGGATGAGCATGGATTTTTCAGTATTCACAAGCAAGCCAAGGGATCTGGAAAAGGAGAGGAACGTCTCAACATCACTCTGGACCTGGAGCAGACCCTGACAAGCCAATCCTCGAGGTAAGGGTGCATTTGCACCTCTCGGCACCTTAAGTAACCCATAATCATGGCCATGCACTCTTTGTGCTATCACCAAGCCAAACAGGAGGAACAAGAACTAATAGTGGCCAAGGCCCCCCCAAACAGCATAGAAAGTATCTGTGTCTCAGAAAAATCAGTATGTGGAAATAAGCATCCTTCAAATCAAGAACAATGTTTCAGTCTCCCAGATTCAGGGAAGAGGTGATGGAGGCCAAGGAGACCATGCAAAATTTCAACTTATGTAGGTATTTGTTGAGGCGCCGCAGGTCCAGGATAAGGCACAGCTCACCTTTGGAATAAAAAAAAAGCAACAGGAATAAAATCCCTTGGTCCAATACGTGGCGGAACTCTCTTCACCACATCCAGCTGCAGCAACCTTTCTACTGCCTGCAAGAGGATGCTCTTGTCAGAGGGGTCCCTGAAGAGGAGACAGGTAAGACAGGTGGAATGGGGGGGTAGGTACAAATTTGTAGAATGTATCCCTGGGCTACAGTCAGAAGAGTCTAGGCAGGGAAGAACCAGGAAAGGCGGTTGGCAAAACAGCAAGGATGGATCCGGGGAGTAGGCTGGTATGCTGTCCTGGGACATGCCCTCAAAACAAGCACTTGGTCCTCGTCTTAGTGCAGGCCAAGCCCAACTGGCCCAAAAATTGGGAAGGAGGGCTTGAGCGGCATTTGTAGTGCTTAGCCTCCTTGGCAGGGTGCTCTTGATGCCCCTTCACTTCCTTGAACCCGTGTCAGTCAATGTTTAAACTGCTTAGAGGTTGAGGCAGCGATGTACAGCCCTGAGGCCTTATGGGACTCTGTTAAGCCATGAAGGTCTGTAGACAAGGCCTGTCCATCAAAATAAGAGTCCTGCAGCGACTGCTGAGCTTTTGATGTCAGGCCAGAAAGGAGCAGCCATGAATCACCCCCCATGGAAAAGGCTGAAGCCTTTGTACAGGCTGCCGAGCGGGTTGCATCCGAGGCTGCCTAAAGGGCAGATCTCACCGCAGCTGTGCCTTCCTCCAGGATTCCCCAGTACTCCGTTCTGGAATCCTTAGGGAGGAATGACCCAAACTTGTCTATGGGCTGCTTCGTGTGTTACAGTTATAATGGCCAAAGAAGGCTTGGTGGCTGGCCACACTGGCCACCTCATCTCCCACTGAAGCCAGAGAAGCCCATGCAAATCCATGCTCTGAGGTGTCTCTTGCCTCTGTCTGCCAGAAGCTAGCAATGGGCAACAGGGGAGGGATCACTTGATGATCGCCTGTCCTATTCATTCCCTGTGGGGCACCTGGCATTGACCACTGTCAAAAGACAAGACACTGAGCTGGATGGAGCTTTGACCTGACCCAGAATAACCGTTCTTATGTTCAGTAAAAGATATGACCTCACCCACCTTGTTTGTCTCTCATGCTAGTTGATCCAACATGATCAAACCCAGTATAGCTGCAAACTAAATAAACTTAGGCATGTTGGGAATCTGACATACTCTGCTTTCAGTTCCTCCTCTGTTACGAGAGATTGGCACCACCTCCAGTTTGGCATTGTTGGGCAGTTTGGCAAATCTCCACTGTAGAGAAGGATCTAGCACTGATCTCTGAAACCTGCAAAAGAAACAAGCACAAGGAGGAGACCAGGTAAAACCACACGCCACTCTCAGGTCACTAGGGAGATTTCTAGCAATACACTGTCTAGAGTAGGAAAAGAGCTCTGTACTTCTCCACAGGCTGACAAAGCACCATGAGGTTGGATTCTATGGGGCAATTTCAGTAAGCAAACCCACCAAAAATAATTTCGTATGCTGAAAATGTGCAATCTGGCTATGGTGGTCATAGACCTTGCAAAGACTCACGGTTCTTATCTCTTCTGCCAAGACTACAAGGAAGAGGCAAAACACAGGTGAATACTTTCAGACACTGGAGCTTTCCGGCCAAGCATCACATGGAGCAAAAATAGGAATGGGGGAATTGACACCTCTTTGGAGAGCTGGAGGTGGGGCCTGGCTGTCTTGGAGCAGAGCAGGTCAGGCTTATAGTCACCCTTACAGCAGAGCAGCACCTGCACCACGCGGTGTGCGTCACCCCTGCGACCCGCCTGAACAAACGGAACAGGAGAGGCCCGGGGCACGCTCGCAACGGCCAACGGCCCGCACGAGCAGCACCTGCCTGGGCGCGTGCCCGAGGCGCGGGCCTCTCCCCAGAGCCGCGCCAGGCCGGCCCGGACTCACCTCAGATCGAACTCGCCGGGGTCCAGGTTCTGCTTCCCACAAACCTCCTCGAGAACCTGCGGGAGAAGCGAGGCGGCGTCAGCGGCCCGGCCTGTGCGGAACGCGCGCGCCAGCGGGAGACCCCGCGAGACCCA